AGTAAGGAATGCGAATATCCTTATCGTACTTAAATTTTATCAATAAAATTTATTTACATGTATTCAATAATCTATTTTGGTTGAACGTGATCAAGAATGTGTCGTTACTGATAAAATTTGGGGGAGGGGGGGGTAATGTTCTTTTGTATTGCAAATTTTTGCTTAAGGAATGTATATTTATATATAGTATAAAAATATATTTTTAAATATAAGAATATATTTTTTTCTTAAAAAAATAACTAAAAAAATTGAAAGCTTTTAGATTTTATATTACACCCAAAGGAACTTTTTTTTTTCCTTTCATTTACATACACATACACGTTTCGAGAGCATTTGGGCTAATGTTCCTTTGGGCTTAAAATATTAAAAACAACCTATCTTTAGAATTTCCGTTAGACATTCGCTTTCTGGAGATAAAATTTCCCCCCCCCCCCCGGGTATAGTGCTCATTTTGAAATCGTTAAGTTTGTTAATCAAAAATTCGTTAAAGCTTTATGAAGTTTTAAATATGCAATAAAACAAGTTCGAAATTCAAAATTCGAGCTTCCAGTTGTCCATACTCGGTTGGAAGACAACGTTATTCAAAATTTGATAACTACCGTTGTGTTTTCACAATGCGAAACACTTGCATACATTCATGCAAGTTCTTCATAATTTAATTTCTTTAATTATAATACAGGGTGGTAACATTTGGCGGCAACAATTTGAAAAAAATCTTTCTTTTAAAAGAAATGTCATGAAACCTTAAATATCAAGTTCCTTATTTGACACTTGAAAAGTGATAAATGTATTACCCTATGACTGGCTTCTTCAAGTTCGTGAAAGGTTAGTTTAAATTCCAAAGCTGTGAAGTTGGAAATGTCTTCTGCCAGATAATAAATACCATTTCGCCCTGCTCCACACTTCCAGTTTCATTTTCTGTAATAACGATTAGAGAGTGCCCATTTTAATTTATAAATAATGCAAATTATAGTTCTCAAGCATATGTCTTTTCCTTTGGTTTTTCTAGTAACCATTGTAACTTCCACTGCTGAAAAAATTTGAATTTTTGTTTTCATTTTCCACTTTCTATATAATACAAGTTTTTAGCGCTTAAGGATAAAGGATGGTTTGAATTTATAATCAAATGAAATGAGAAATATGCTGATACGGAAATGATGACATATTACTCACTGCTTATATTACCAATCCTCCAGGGGCGGCGTCTTGGGGCATGTGGCGCGTGCCTTTAAATTTGAAATATTTATTATTTTTTAATTCAATTGAAAAATAAAATCCTTATTAATTACAGCTTTGCAAAGAATCATCGATTTTATTTAGAATCAGAAATTTAAAACAAAATTAACTGCACTCTGTCGTGTCTTCTGCAATTTGGCTCCTGCATGCTGTATGAATACCAGCATCATTAACCAAAAGCGTATTTTACAAAGGGAAAAACCTTTTCCCTTTTTTTCCCTCCCGCAACATGAAAGCTCATTAGAATTTTTGCTAAATGCATGCCTATCGCATTTAGATGGAGGAAATGAGTATTCGTTCTTTAGCATTTGAATTTGGTGCGATTATTACGTTTTAGGCATTATTAGGCGAGTATTCTGTTTCAAAGTTTTACATAGAACTGTATATTTAGTTTAAAATTGTCTTTTCGTATTTCTTGGCTTCTTTCAAAGTTCCAAATGATAATTCAGCGGTCTGAAACTGCGACTCGCTGGCCACATACCGTCTTTTTCTGAAAATAAGACATCCTCCGAAAATAAGCTCTATCATGATTTTCGGAACTTTTGTAAATAAATTTGTTTTGTATATAATTCAGGTTTTATTTATAATTGTCCAGAAGAAGATTATGACGATTTAAAGAAGTGATTTAATGATTTAATCTGTTTCTGTGTAAAATAAATGTTAAATAAAATATATATAGCTTTTATTTTTGCCCTTCCCCGAAAATAAGCCCTAGCGCGTATTTTGGACCAAAAAGGAAAGTAAGACAGTGTCTTATTTTCGAAAAAAGACGGTATGGTTTTACTGGTTTGGAGTCCAATTTTACATTATTTACAGTATTAAAAACGAGAGCGTAACTCTCTCCAAAATCTAGAAATGGAGTTCATTAATTAACACTTATATAAATTTTATACAAGATTTGAAGATTAAAATTACTTTTATTAGCATTTGTCGAAAGATAAATATTCTCTGTTACGAATTTTTGCTATAAAAATAATCGCTTTGTTTCGAATTTAAAGGCTGTGCAATTACATTTAACAGTTTTTTTTTTCTCTACAGTTAGTTGAAACTTAATAAATCCTCGAGAAAAAACAAAACAACCGATGAGTATGTATATTTTGTGATGAAGATACTTTGTAGAAATTTTCCTTCAAAATTACAGACTTAATGAAAATTGAAACGCCATTAGGGATTGTAGCTGATAGGTATAGTACGAAACACAGAAGTTTATAATTATCTTCATGCAAACATAATCTTTTCTGCATGCATCATAGAAAAATCTAATAAATAAAAGAAAGGGAATAAATTTTATTGTTTATTCTCAAGTTTTGTCTCTCTTAGGAAGCTTTCATGTGTTTCTTTTTAGTTTGAGTTAAAGTAAGTTATTGGGTATTAACTTCAGTATATTATAATTATTTGAATAAAGGTCAATCTGAAAATCGTAATATTTTTCTGTCAGTGAGTTTGAATTACAAATTGTGACCAAGAGAAATTCAGGCAGAAAATAAGTACAAATTTGAATTTTTTTTCATTATTTTTATATGTACATGTTGAAAATATGTAGTAAAAAAAGTTTTAAATTTAACTATCAAATTTTATAATGTTAACAAAAAAAAAACTTTTCTTTCTTTATTCCTTTTTCATTTATTTTTTAATGTTGTTCATCTGCTACTGTTGTTCATCAGATAGTGAATTTGGCCCACCTCCAGTTTCGGTTTCTGACCACTATGATAATTAAACCTGAATTACCTGAATTATTAAGTGAACCTGAATTACTAAGTAACACTAATGAACGCTTATGAACTGAATTACTAAGTCACTAAACCTGAATTATTAAGTGAAACATCTTTTTTTTTTTTTTTTTTTTTTAATTGAAGCATGACTGAAAATAAAACAGAAGGGCATATAAAAAGCTTAATTGTGCATTGATTGTCCTCTAAAAAATAAAAAAATTACTTAAAGATGATTTAAAACATAAAAAGAATGTGCTTATAAAGGTCAAAACATGAGGCATACTCATTATAAATAAAATATGTAAACTTAATAAATATGCAAATTTATGTAATAAATAATGTACGTAAATTTATACCATGTATAAATAAACACCAATAGTATTCATAACACGATCAGTGAAATTTATAAGACTGAGTATCTGATTTTGCTGATATCAGCATTAACTGTACCACTATTCAGATTCTATCAATTATTAATGTAAAATTTTATCAGCAATTAATTTGCAGATTAAAGTTGGAAATATATTATATTGTGATCACCATAAATGAAGCAAAATATTATAATGCAAACCGTCTACAAGCCTTAACGGGAAAATTTTCGTTTCAGTCCTTAAATCTGGAGAATTTTAAATTTATTATATGCATTTAATTATTTTTCATATTACACTATGTTTAACAACATATTAGTATGCAAATAGTATATTCAACTTGCATGTACAACAAATGCATGTAACTCTAATTTTCATTTATTAATATAACTTTTGAAGTAGTATTTGGTGTTCAACAGCATGCCATTTATTGAAATTCGAGATATGCCTCTGCAACCCTCCATATTTTAAAAATATGGAGCAATGATATGTAACTTAAAAATGAAGAATCTAAGATGTGGTAAAATAAGTTTTGCACTCATTGTTTATAATTTGAATATTACACATAACTCTACATACAAAGAGAGCAACAGCAACAGTTGCCTTAACAATTTGAAAAAAAATTAATTGCTTTTAGCAGTGCATAATGAAACTTCAATACTTCTAAAGGTTTGTGGCAACTATGTGATCCCCCCCCCAAAAAAAAAGCATTATACAATCAAAAGTCGTTAATTCGGACACCCATAATCCGGACCTCAAAGCTAAAAACTTTCTGCACATGCGCACAGGCGTTTTACGCGTGCGCGTAAGACCTGACTATGCGCATAGGCGGTGCGCAAGTGCAGATACATTTCGTCTGCGCGTTTAATGTATAACTGACGGTTGTAAGCTAAAATTATCTATTTCAGTTAATGTAATGATGCGTTGTTCCTTAATCTTCAAATGGATCCCGCTTATTTTTTGCAGACTGTAAGAGCAATTTTAAAAGTAAACTTGAACTTCGATTATGAAATAGAATTTCCGATGCTGGAACTTCCAAGGATCTACAAAACGAAAGTATGTTCGATGTCCAACAACAAAAAGTGGAATTGCTGCAAAAATGAATAAGGCATAAAGAATGTGACAGAGAGGTTAGTGAAAACGAAAAAATTTCGATTGACAAGTTAGTCGGTATTCTCGGCACAGCATTAACGGGACTTGAACAGCGGACTTTGTAACTGAACAAGAAATTATGTCTGTTTATGAATAAAGAGAAAGTGTTATCACATAAAATGAAGCAACTTAAACAACTTACATTGAAAGAAATGTTTAATAGTAAACCAAATAATATTAAGCTTTTTTTTTTTTTTTTTTTTTTTTTTCTTTGTAAATTTGATACTCTTTAGATCATAATTGTTCTTTATTTCTAATACGGTTTCATATTTTTAATTTAGAATTTCTGTATGCCATCTTACGAGATTTAAACTGATGATCTATAATCCGGAATAGCCGAAGTCCCAACGAGTCCGGATTAACGACTTTTGACTGTATTACTTATATGTATCATGTACTTGTCCTTGTATAAACTTTTAATTGCTGTGCACTTTTTTCTGTCAATTTCATGCTTCTCATCCTTTAATTTAGAATCTATTGTTAATATTTCTGCATTACTTTTCAACTTAGTAATTGGGATATTTTTATTTAGGGTCAACCAATACATTATGTAACAAAGCATGTGAAACTATGTGGTTATACTGGAAAACGTTGGTACCACCATGGAAACCCGTGGTAGAGCTGTGCCAGGTGGCACTGCTACCAGTCCCGAATCTGCAATGGCATCAGAATTATTTGACCAGTTTGTATCAGCTGGAACTTTTAAATCAGTTTTGTCCACATACCGCCAGTTATGTGAAGTTTTGCGACTAAAGCCTACAAACATAACAAATTTTTATCCTCGATTAAAAGCAAAACTTCATTCATGGAGGGCAGCTTCATTGTGGACAAAATTAGACAAAAGAGCAAGTCACAAATGCTACAACAGAGGCAAGGCTTGTCCTAACACTAGAGTAAGTGATGGCTGTTAAGTGTTAATATATATTTCTGAAATATTTTTCATTTTTACTTTCTTCTTTTTAAAAATAGTAAAATTATCAAATGCATTTGTATTTATTTGTCAGAAATACTTAATGAAATGATTACACAGTGTCATAAAAAAAAGAGTGCTAAAATTTTAAAAGTGCGTGCTGAAAAACATTTAAAGACCCTGTTGAAATGGGTTCGTTCATATGTTATAAAGCTTAAAAAAAAAAAAAAAAAAAAATCTATAGTTTTCACCTTAATTTTTAATTTTTCTTCATTTGTCATCTGATAAGCTCGAAAACTGATTTCATCTTATGCCAAGTGTGCTGATGTATGAAGTTATAAAGATTGTGTGATCTGAACAAACCAATAACTGTTTCATGGTAATTCTATGAATGGATGCTGTCATCTTCTGCTGTAAGTGCAAGAGAGGCTAGTGAGTCATCCTGTGCTTTAGAAGTGAGAACTGCGTAACATACCATCTTGTTGTAGGTGCAGGGTATCCTAAATTTTTTATCATACATAGATGGTGGAAGTCATGAACACCAGTGCTTTGCTATGATGGCTAGACAGGTATAATCCCACACTTTATCATACAAAAAAATTCTTTGCATATTTCTCTATATTCCCAATAAGAAAGTTCAGAAGAAAGACAGCATTTCTAAAAATGAAAAGATTTTATCTGCACAAGCTAGCAGATTAATTCTCATATTTTTAGTCAGAATATTTCATTCACAACCTTACCCAACATCCACTGAAACTTATATTGTTTAGCTTTATTTGTTAATGTTTCAGTCATATTACATTCCTATTTGATGACCAGGAATGATATTTATATCAACATAAGCAAAGGGTCTTATGGCTATTTTTAGAATAACATAAAATGAAAAGTGTAGGAAATCGTTCTTTAATATTTTATCTCATTTTAATGTTTTGGGATTCCAGAATGGCAATGAAAGTATCATATCATAAATACTTGTTCAAATATTCATTTTTCTGTTTGATGTTTGTCTCAACCCATTTATGCTAAAGGCACAAAAATTTAAAATTTTGAATAAAAGTGGTTGTTTAATCATAGTGTAATGTACACACGGGATTTGTTGACACTGTTATGAACAGTAAACGAGTCATTTGTTGTTAGCAACAATTTTCAAAATCGGGCCAAGGAATGTATACTAGAATTTTACCAAAAGTGAGTGTATAGGTGTATAGTGTTTGGATGACCTAAAGTATTCCAGGTGTGTTGACATACTTATGTTTAAAGTAATAGGACATATATTGAATTGCTCTGAATTTAAAATGATAGACATAAATGGGTTAATGATAAAATTCTTTCAAAATGAAAATTTTTTAAGGTTAGAATTTATTAGTGCTAAAGCAACAGTGTATCTTTAGTAAAGGACAAAAAGACAAAAATTTTCGTTAAAAAATTGTGTATTTTTTTTTTTTTTTTTTCCAAAAAAAAAAAAAAAAGTTTAAAACTCACATTTTTGATTTAATTATAAAATGATTTAAATTAGCTTTAAACAACCTTTTGCATAAAATACCTGAGTCATTACTACTGGTATATCTTCTATTTTTGAATATATTTATTAAATATAAATATATTTTTTATTGTGGTGTAAACTTAGCTAGCCTCACACAAAACAGATAGTTATCTTTTCAAACAGATAACAGTTAGTTATCTTTATCATTGAAACTAAAAAGGGTTTAAATTAAGCTGAAGAAATATGGACAGAAAATATCAGCTAAAAGTCTGTAATCCACTATGTATGTTTTCAGAATATGGTTTTCTTGTTTTAGATCACGTATAAAATGCTAATAAAGATATGAACTTTAAAAAAACCTTTTCAGAATCTTCTTACTTCTCTGTTTGCTGTGCTCAAATCAAAATTTTAAAAACATTATTTCTCTTTCGGCAGATTTTACCTTTGTTGAGATTTTGCCAATGTTTCAAGAACACTTAGTTCTTTCATTTTGCATTTTTAAAATGTAGCTGTGTAAATTCACCACTAAGATGCAGTCACTGCTTATAATTTTTTTCACTGAGGACTATTAAAAGATTACTATCAAAATATAAACTTGAGTGATAGCTTAATAAATTTGTGTCTGCATACTTTTTTTAACAAAAAATTACTTTTTTATTTTCATTAGCTACTAATGCTATGTAAAATATACTGTTTTTGTACATATACAGTTTTCATTATAATTGTGAGTTTTTTATTCGATTAGTTTAAATCAATGGTTTTAATCATGCGATTACTATAAATACTTTACAAAAGTTAATGAGATTTGACAGTGCAAGAGAAATTTGGCTCGGACTTCGCAAAAAATTCAAAGGTTTGGCCAGTAACCAACTTTACAACATATGTTTACAGTTCTTCAAATTCAATTAGTCAAATGATAATATGGCATGTCATTTATAAAAATTGAAAATTTTTTTAACAAACTGAACAGTTGACTTCAAAATAAGGGGAAGAAGAAAGTAAGCTCTCAGGAATGCTGTTGATTTGTAAAATATTGAATTCCAGTCATCATACTTTCAAATCGAGTTGGATACTTCTTAGTGATGAAAAGAGAACTCCACAAAATTAACCACACAACTCTGCACTCAGGAAAGACAAATTAACCACACAACTCTGCACTCAGGAAAACGAATCAAGGAAAGATCCAGATTTTATCCAGATCATAAAGCATTAACAGCAAATTCAAAATTTAAGCAGAAATCAGTCCCCAGTAAGGGAAAAAATGGGAAGTGTCGTCATTGCCACCAGAGAGGACCTTGGGTCAAAACATGCAAGAATTGAATAGCTGATGGAAAACCACCAAAACCTAGTCTCCTTATAGAGCCAAGCAAATAACGTAAGAATAATGTTGCTGCAAATATAACACTCCTAGCTGTAGATAAGGAAATATTTTCTGCTGAAACAAATTCTGATGATTGATTTATTTACAGTGGGGCCTCAAAACACGTCATCAGTAACAGTCACTACTTAGTAGACTTTGAAAAATTTGAGCTTTCAGATTTTTTAGAATCTTCTTACTTCTCTGTTTGCTGTGCTCAAATCAAAATTTTAAAAACATTATTTCTCTTCCGGCAGATTTTACCTTTGTTGAGATTTTGCCAATGTTTCAAGAACACTTAGTTCTTTCATTTTGCATTTTTAAAATGTAGCTGTGTAAATTCACCACTAAGATGCAGTCACGGCTTATAATTTTTTTTCACTGAGGACTATTAAAAGATTACTATCAAATATAAACTTGAGTGATAGCTTAATAAATTTGGTGTCTGCATACTTTTTTTAACAAAAAATTACTTTTTATTTTCATTAGCTACTAAGCTATGTAAATATACTGTTTTTGTACATATACAGTTTCATTATATTGTGAGTTTTTTATTCGATTAGTTTAAATCAATGGTTTTAATCATGCGATTACTATAAATACTTTACAAAAGTTAATGAGATTTGACAGTGCAAGAGAAATTTGGCTCGGACTTCGCAAAAAATTCAAAGGTTTGGCCAGTAACCAACTTTAAACATATGTTTAGTTCTTCAAATTCAATTAGTCAAATGATAATATGGCATGTCATTTATAAAAATTGAAATTTTTTTAACAAACTGAACATTGACTTCAAAATAAGGGGAAGAAAGTAAGCTCCCAGAAATGCTGTTGATTTGTAAAATATTGAATTCCAGTCATCATACTTTCAAATCGAGTTGGATACTTCTTAGTGATGAAAAGAGAACTCTAGACAAATTAACCACACAACTCTGCGCTCATGAAAAAGAATCAAGGAAAGATCCAGATTTATAGGAACTTTAGATCATAAAGCATTAACAGCAAATTCAAAATTTAAGCAGAAATCAGTCCCCAATAAGCGAAAAAATGGGAAGTGTCGTCATTGCCACCAGAGAGGACCCTGGGTGAAAACATACAAGAATTGAATAGCTGATGGAAAACCACCAAAACCTAGTCTCCTTATAGAGCCAAGCAAATAACATAAGAATAATGTTGCTGCAAATATGGCACTCCTAGCTGTAAATAAGGCAATATTTTCTGCTGAAAGAAATTCTGATGATTGGTTTATTGACAGTGGGGCCTCAAAACACGTCATCAATAACAGTCACTACTTAATAGACTGAAAAATTTGAGCTTTCCCATAGTGTAACTGTAGCAAATGGTAAGTAATTGCCAGCAACTGGAAAAGGCATATCAAGATATTGACAGTTGTAAATGGTATGAATCAAATTAAAAATCTTGAAAATGACTGGTATATTTCAGAAATAAGTAAAAATATATTTTCCATGTTAGCAACTCAAGATACAAACCAGAATAGTGTGTTTGAATCAACATTTGAGAACTGCTGTTTAAAAATACATGTCGAAATACTTCTGGAGGGTACAAGAAATGCCAGTGGGGGGATCTCTTCAAAGCCATGATGAAGACCTTAGTTCCTAAAACTCCCACTGACATAAATGTGACTGAGAATAATAAATCAATTCTTCAAATTTATCAAGAACAGGGAGGGTCATCAAGATAAAAAGAATGTAAAAGCCCAGGGAAAGAAAGAAAAAGTTGAATATGTAGATAAGTCTGAAATGAAATTATGTGTAGTCAAAAAATTACAAATGTTACAAAAGCTTGAGAATTGTTATCGACCAATATTTGTGGGCCATTTGATGAATCATTTAAGAAATATTTATACTTCACAATCTTCAAAGATGCCTATGCCAAATTTCAATACTGTTTTTTCTTAAATTACTAATCAGATGTAAAGGTTGTGCTTGAAAATTTCATAGCTCGTACTAAGAACTCAATCATAAAGTTAAAGAAATCCTCAGTGACATTGGTAGAGAGTTTGACAATAAAGCAGTTAGAATGATGTTGAACAAGCATGGAATGTCGCAGAGGTTCACAGCTCCGTATGCACCAGCACAAAATGGCAGTGCTGAACAAGAGAATTGAACAATTCTCGAAACAGCCAGATCTCTCAAATATTCGAATGAAGAAGTAGACTTTCCAGCTTCCTTGTGGGCAGAGCTCATCAGCACTTCAGTTTACATACTAAATAGGACAGGCAGGTCTTCAGTTCCTAATTCAAGTCCTTATGAATTATGGATGGGAAAGAAATCCAAAATAAAACATATGTGCATCATTGGATGAGCCAACTATGCTCATGTTCAAGTTCAGAAGAGGGGAAAGATGGACAAAAATGCAACTTACTTAAGTTTATCTCCTTGAGTATGATGGAGATACCACATTTGAAGAAAAACCTTCCATGACAGGCCATATTAAAACATTAAACAGGGCATATTAAAAAGTTTCCAAAATGAAACCTGTGTCAAAATGATTTTGAAAATAAAGAACAGACGAAGGCTTCAAACAGCAAGAAGAGGTGGTGGAGAATATACAAGAAAAGGAGACGATCCAGAAGACAAATTTCAGCATCTAAATGGACAAAGGATTATATCATGTAAAATTCAGAGATCTGTGAAAAAAATCCTCCAGAAGTAAAAGAATTGTAAGTAGAATGCAGTGCAGCTGATAATTCAAAAAACAAGAATGTGAAGACTCAACACTTAAGAACATTTCTCAAAATGATCCTGAAACTTTGGAAGAGGCAATAACTAATCCAGATGCAGAAAAATGGAAGTTAGCCATGGAAGAAAAGTTAGAAATTTTAAAAGAAAATGAAACTTGAAAACATACTGCCTAGGCCAAAAGAAAGGAAAGTTGTGAAATGCAAGTGGATCTTCAAGAGAAAATTTAATGAAGATTGATAGGTGGAAAATGAAGCTCGTTTAGTTTTAGTTGCTCATGGCTACACTTAAGTCGAAGGAATAGACTACAAGGAGACTTTTTCTCCTGTAATAAAACAAAGTCAATTAGAACTCTATTAGTGTTCTCAGTTGGGGAAGGCTGGCATGTTCATCAGTTGGATATTGCTGCAGCGTGTATAAATGGAAAATGAAGTGATATAATTTTCATGAAACAGCTACCAGTGAGTCTGCATGAGAAACCGCATGAAGAGGTTTTCTTGTTAAAGAGAAGTCTTTATGGACTTCATCAGTCTTGGAGAGTACGGAACATCCGTCTTGATAAATTTCTAAATCAGTGAGCCTAACAAGATCCAGAGCAGACACTTGTGTTTTCTTCAGTAAGAAAAAGGAGTTAATCATAGATGTGTATGTGGATGACCTCTTTGTAATTTCCAGCAAAGTGTCTGTCATTCAGGAATTTAAGGATAATATTGCTGTTACATATAAAATCAAGAACTTGGGAGAAATATATCACCTTTCTTTCAATTAGGATAAGCAGATGGTAAGATGGCTCAATAACTCTTCATCAAAGTGTCTATGCTAGTGAGCTCTTGGAAACAACCAATATATTAGATGATGAAGGAGCATCAACACCATTAGATCCAAGAATGAAATATACACTATCCAATAACCTTTTAACTGTCATACCCGAAATAATCTCGGGCACAGCATTGTTATTCCAAAATGTCACGCCCGAATATTACTCGGGCTTTTTTTTTTTTTTTTTTTTTTTTTTCTGTGTGCATCATATTGTTATACCCGAATATATATCAGAGAAGTTTATTTGGCTTCAGTTCAAACAGATGGCAGCATTTGACTGAAGGTTCAAAGGATGAAGTTAAAGTTCAAAGTGCGTGGCATTTTTAATTTTTTTTTTACTTTGAGGCAAACATTTCATTTTTGGAATAAAAAAAATTGACAATTTATGCACCCAAATCATCAAAATAACTTGACAGTTAAAAGGTTAAGGATAACACTGGGATGTTGAAATAGCACTAAAACATAAGCAGGCTGTTGTATCTGGCAGGAGGAAAAAGGCCTTGATTTAGCCTTTGCTCCCACCTACATGAGCTAGTTCAATAATTGTCCAAGCAAGGAACATTGAGTTGGCATACAACATATTACCTAAAACAGACTGAAGAATTAAAGCTGACTTTCCAAAAGACTGGAAAGGATTTGGAAGTGTGCTGTGATTTCAAGGGCTGGTGATGAGATCGATAGACAATCACTTAGTGGCTATGTTGTATTTATCAGGTGGAGCTGTCTCGTGGGGCAGTAAAAAGCAGCAGACGACTGCTTTGTCAACAGCAGAAGCCGAGTACTTCTCAGTGTGCAGACAAGGAAGTGCAAACCAAGCCAAGGGATTCCAAAATTTTTTGCAAAAAAATTATGGGAGAACATTTTTTGAAATTTCCACAAAATATATTTGTTGATATTCAGGGTGTCATTTCTTTAGCTAAAAACTATGTTATTTCAGAGTGTAATAAACATATTGAACTCGGGCAATTTTTTGTAAGAGATAAGGTTGAAGAGAAGTTGTTGAACTTTATCTATGTGCCTTCCAGTTCAAATGCAGCAGACATGTTGTCTAAGAATATGTGTAAAAAAAAATTCTTGTATGACCAGTTTCATTGTAAGACTATGGAAAATTATATCAAGGAAGAAGTGTTGCAAATATCTTTTAATTTATAAATATATTTCCCAATGTATTATGCAACCTGTGTGGCAACATTTTTTTTTTTTACTTTTCTATTTTTGGTGACGTTTTCAGTAGTTATTACTATAGTTCCTTTACTATGTAGTATATTTTTACCATGTTCTTTTTGTGTTCTTAATAAATATATGTTAATACCGATGATGTTTTTTTTTTTTTATTGTTGTCTCCATTCATAATGTTAGACTCTAACATAAACTGCAATTTTAAATATGGGAAAATAAGATAATCCCTTACTGTGTTCCTTATTTAAAGGCCATGATTAGCTTCCTTAATATTAGATTTTTAGACATTTCCTAATTATCCACACACCCGTCCCAAATAGTCACAAACCTCTAGGCGACTAATTTTTCATCAGACTTATAAAATACAGCAGCCATTTTCAAAAGCAGTACCACATTAAAAATTACATAAAACAGCAACCAAGTAGCGAAATTTAAAATGCAAAGAACATCCTTGATAAAACACTTTTTTCGCTGCTCATTCTATATACACGGAAATCTATTTTAGCTTGAAAAAATATCAGAGAATAGCAGAAGCTCAGCCATGCACAACTTCAGGCTTTTCCCATGTACAAAATGATCTATTTGCGCTAAAAAAACATAGGATATATTTTGGCTTGAAACAATATCAATGAATTTCAGAAACTCAAACTTTCAGAAACAACTTAGCACTGTAGACAATGTCAGTTTTCTCCATGTACATAATGCTCCGTTTTTGCTTAAAAAAACGTTGGATCTATTTTAACTTGAGAAAATGTCAGAGAATTTCAGAAACTTGGCCACGTCCAATTTAGCAATGTAGACAGTGTCAGGTCTGCCCATGTATATAGTGATCTGTTTTCGTGGAAAAAAAAAAAAAACGGAGAATTGCACAAATCGATAATGTTGTTTTCTCTTGTATGCAGCAATCTGTTTATGCTTTAGAAAAGCATCAGAGAATTGCACAAATTTTAATCCATAAGATTCAACCATTTACGAAGTACAACTTCGTGGCATGCAAAATTTTTGCATTCTCTGCTGTTGGTCAAAATGTCGTATTTCTGAGAAAATGCAATGCTTTTTCATTATCCAGCAAACTCCACAGCCCCATTACGAATTCTAACTAGTAAAAGGAATGCACTTAATGCAACAAAAATGAACACAAATTACTGTTGAATTTGGAGGTGGAAGCATGGTTTGCATTGAAAATCGGTACTTATGGTGCCTGTATGCCTCAGCTGATATCTATTTTAGTGATGTCAAGAGTTGCTATTTTGGTTACATAGCATTTTATATCATGAATACTTTTCAGGGGGTATAATCAGAAGCTATTGATTTTTGAAAGCTCAAAAACCTACAAATTAACTGTGTTGTCAGAGGGAATAAAACCATGGATCTTTCGGTTGCCAGAACATGCTACCTCTTTACACCATGAGAGCTTATGCCAGGAAATGCATATTTGCACCATTAGTATAATTGATATTCTAAAACATATGGGAACATCAATATCTCTCTTGTACTACTAATAAAGTAATTTTTAATTTCAGGTTAACAAAATTTTCAATAAGGATTATGATTGGATTTTTTAATGGATTTGTGCTGGTTCTACATTCTGCATGCTTTGAAAGCAATAAGGAAGATATCCTAAATTTCCAAATTTAATTTATTAATGAGATACCTAAACCAATAAGGAATCACCTGATATATATATTCTAAAAACTATTTATCAGAAAAAAAAAATTGCTTTGGCATAACATCAAATAAAACTGAGCCTCAGGAAATAAATTTTGACCGAGCACTGCAGCAAGTACAACCGAGGCAGCCGCTCAGAGTTTCAAAATTTTTAGAATTTAGAGGGCCGCTCCACTGAAAATTTAGTATTCATTGAGTTTATACTAGGCCTGTCTGAAAGTCGTGTAAAATATTAGAGAATAATTACTTTTGTTACTTCATAAATCTAAATAGAAATAAAATTAAAAGAAAATATTTTTGTAAGAAGTATTCGTATGTTATTGCAACAGCTAGAGCCGAAGGCGAGGCTTCAGAAATGCAATTTGTAAATTCTTTGAGAATGGCGAAGACCTTATACACTCATTGTTTGAAGCATAATTGAAAAATTCAAAAATTAGGATATTCAGTAAGTATTAAAATTCATTCCTTGAATTCACGCTTGTGCTTCTGAAAAGATATGTGTCCTTGAAAAATTTTTATGTGCACGTTTTTAAAATGGTATTTTCAGAGCATAGAACTTATTTGAAACTCTCCTTCATCTAATAGAAATATGATTATTTTGCCTATTTTATTCATGTAATTGTATATGATTATGTACGTCATATGTAGCATTTTATATTTTTAATTTTTACTGGCTCTGTCTTGTCTTTTATCAGCTTTAAAATATTGAAGTTTGACATAGTGTTTTAATGTTACAGGTTTTAATTATTGGTGCAGGCCCTTGTGGTTTGAGGGCAGCAATAGAAGCTCAACTTTTAGGCGCTAAAGTTGTTATTGTAGAAAAAAGGGATCGCTTTTCAAGGAATAATGTTTTACATTTATGGCCTTTTGTTATACATGACCTTCGTAACCTTGGAGCAAAGAAATTTTTTGGGAAGTTTTGTGCTGGCTCAATTGACCATATAAGTAAGTGTATAAGTAATTACTGTAAAAAAATTCATTTTAATTTATGTTATTGTTTTACAAATTTTATGTCTGATTAAACTTTTGCTCTAAATTATTAATTAATATAATTTTTTTTCCAATTCTGTGAAAGCAGTGCATTTACATTGTTAAAAATAGAAATTAATTTGCTTCTGTTATTGTTAGTGGTGTTATTAAATTTCATAGCGATTCCACAACTTAATGTTTAGAAATATTTTTTGAAGGGTGATTTTTCAAATAATTTTTAGTGACATTTATTTTGTTTAAATGTTGAGTTTTAATATGAGGCCAATTAATAAACTCTGCTAGTTTTGTTCCTAATTTGTAATAAAGCACTCTGGATGTTAGTACAGTCAAGAGTTGTTAATTCGGACACCCATAATCCGGAATGATCTATAATCCGGACCTCAAAGCTAAAAACTTTATGCGCATGCGCCGCGTTGACACATGCGAATAGGCGTTTACACGTGCACATAAGACCTTTTACCACTGCGCATATGCGTGTGCGCAAGCGCAAAATACGTTTTCACGTGCGCATTTTATGTATAATGGACTGTATAATCTAAAATTATCTAATTATCTATTTCAGTTAATGTTGATGATTGTGTTGTTCCTTAATCTTCGAATTCGATCCGGCTTATTATTTTTTGCAGACTAAGAGCAATTTTATAAAAGTAAACTTGAACTTCCGATTATGTCAAATAGAATTTCCGATTCTGGAGCTCCCAAAGGATCGTACAAAACGAAAGTATGTTTCGATGTCCATCAAACAAAAAGTGCAATTGCAGCAAAAAAAAATGGATAAAGAACATGAAGAATGTGGCAGAGAGGTTAGTGAAAACGAAAAAATTTCGATTGACAAGTTAGTCGGTATTCCTCGGCACAAAAATTAATGGACTTGAACAGCGGAACTTTGTAACTGAACAAGAAATTCTGTCTGTTTATAAATTAAATAAAAGTATTATCACATAAAACGAGGCAACTTAAACTACTTACATTGAAAGAAATGTTAATAAGTAAACAAATAAATATTAAGCTTTTTTTTTTTTTTTTTTTTTTTGTAAATTTTGATACCCTTTAGATTATAATTGTTCTTTATTTCATAAATTAAGGTTTCATATTTTTAATTTTAGAATTTCTGCATGCCATCTTACGAGATTTAAACTGATGATCCGGAAAAATCGATAATCCGGAATCGCCGAAGTTCCGATGAGTCCGGATTAGCGACTTTTGACTGTATGATTTTCTTCATATCTGCATTGTCTCAAATTGTTGTCTCTTTAGAATCAAAATGTGCTGGGAGGCTTGGGGAAAAAGCTTTGTGATATTCTTTCAAGATGTGAATTTTGAGAAATTGAAATTTGGTTTGTTTATGAGTGGTTGCAAAATGTTTGTTTATGAGTGGTAGCTTGTTTGTTTGAGGTTCTGCCAGTATACCCAGTTCAACATTGGTGATTTGTCTATCAGAAGTATTTGCAGAGCTTTAAGCACACAGTGATTTGTGTCACATTGCTCAAAGAAGAGTAATATGTCTGAAACTGTGTAAATATATAGATGTGTGTACACACACACACATACCAAAAAAATAGTAGATCTTACCATCTGAAGAAAATCATAGCATATAATGTATGCCTTACTGAACAACAAAGCTTGCAGATGAGTAATGTTATTAGATTGCATGCACCATTCACAGAGAATTTCATTCCATAAGTTTTAATTGTAATGTAGGTATCAATCAGTGTAGGTGATATCAATGCTGTGATTTATATAACTTGACCCATGTGATGACTGAGTAATAACTTGAATTAAGTGTAATCTCTAACCTGGAGATACATTTTGAAGTAGCAGTAATCTTTCTTGGATCATTTTTACATTGTTTAGATTTCATCAGTTTGTTTTTAGGGTGCAACTATTAACCATAAAGTCTAACTTGATAGCTTACCATCTTTGTGACACTGCAGAACAGCAAGCCTGACAATGCAGACAAAACAAAAGTATATTTCTAGGACTGTTTTTTAAATTCTTGCAGAAAAGTATGCTTTGGGATCTCAGTGTATTTATTGCAACCAAATATAAGCTAGCTTTGTTTCTAATATGGCTATCTAGTGACTTTTATTAATGTATATGGGTATAGTGACTTTTACTAATGTAGTATAAATGCAAAATGGCTTGATTTGTATATGTATCATTGCTACAACTCTCCCAGTTTTACATCACATCTCCTGGTCCTCCAGTACTTAACTTAAGTTAGTTAAGTACTGGAGGACCAGTAAGTTAGAACTTCTGGTTTTTAATTTTTAGCCTTTTCCCAGAAATTAATGAAATTTTTTTAATTAATTAAACTGAGTTGTGCAAATTATGTTCCTTTAGCCCTGGTAGTTTTCAACAAGATGTTTTGTGCTAAATTTTATTTGACTTGAATTGTCTTAATTTACTGGAAGCATTTTTAGAATTTTTTATGAAAATTCAAGCAGTGTTTAATTAGTTAATGCTTGCATTTAAGTTTGCTTTGCATAAATGTATGATACATTGCTGCAGTTTATTGGCATACTAATATGTGCATTAATTATTAATTTTATTTTTACCATATTTAAAAGTATTTAGATATAAACAAAAGCTTTCTTTCCATACTCAGGATTTTCTTAGTATGTCATTGTTTCATCAAATGCCTGACACTTACAACTTAAGTCATTCATCGTCAGATACTTTTTAATCATTACATACATCTTAGCTGTTTCATTGCCAAAAAACATTGCTCCAGGTGTATCCCAGCAGGTAACCAATATTACACTGATGGGGGGGGGAGATCTTTTACAACTTTGATGAAGAATAGTCCGAGGGATGGATTTTAGGGTCTCCCACCCCTCTTCCTCTGACATCGAGCCTCTCACAAGAACTTTCAGCTCTGCAGTATTTTAAGTGCACCCATGCCTCACAGATATTCTACACATAACAAATATCCAAGCCGTGTTTGGTATTCAAATCTGGGCCCAGTATTTTGGCAGCCAGTTCTGCTAACTCTAATACTGACAGAATAATTTTCCTCAATATCGAAGTATAAGAAACTTTAGGAAATTAGCCAGAATGCATTTTATATCAAAATCATATTTTAAACACTTCCGTAACCAGAATCAGGAAAGTGTATACTGCATATAAAATGACTTAACATCAGTTTGATGTTCTTTTGAAATGATGAAAACATTCTGGTAACTCCCAATTTTATAAATCTCAGTGTTGGCTTTTATGGCGTATATATCATACATCTTCTATTGTCTCTAGTTTTTTCAGTGCTTTTATATGTATTTTACTTATTTGATTATGACTTATACTTTTGTTACCTTTCTTTTCATGTGTCCATTAATAACTATGGTGTTGATGATTTGGTAATATTTTTCTTTTGATATGAATATGAAATAATAATGGCAGTTAATTATTTATGTAACTTTTAAGTATTCTTAGTTTTGTAGCCATTAGCAAACTTTTACATGTTGGTCTTCCTTTTTTTTTTTTTTTTTTTTTTTTTTGGTAGGTTTTAATGCAACTATTAATATATCATTAATTAATTTTATAATGCAATTAATATGATAAACTATTTTCTCATATTTTCAATTAGGTATTCGGCAACTACAAATCATCCTCTTGAAAGTAGCACTACTTTTAGGTGTTGAAGTACATGAAAATGTTGGTTTTGAAAGCTTAATTGAACCTTCTGAAGATCAAACACGTGAGTATATATACTGATTTTATTTGAAATATGTATTGTTGTATGTTTGCTTTATCTTTTTACTTTCTTGTAAGAAGTAAAACAAGTATTGTAATTTTGGTTATCATATTTCAATGAAAATATTAATTTTGACCACTCTCGAATTTCTCTGAATAATATTTTTGCATGACATCTGTACTTACAGGCAGAATAGAAGACTCTTTTTTCCAAAACAGATTGTTAAATATATTCATGATAGATTTTTTCATGATGTCTGTACATATGTTATTTTTATTCTTATATGTTTCTAAATTATGAGTTTTTTGCTTTAAAAGTGATTGAATTATGTTGTTCTCATGTTCCAGTTAAGGTTTTTGTGCTTTTTGTTAATCTGCATTCAATAATTGTAGAATTATCAGCAATTTGTAAGTTTAAGTGCTGCTAGGCCTAAAAAGGCTGCCATTTGTTTATATTTTAAACTCTTAGTGGAGTAGTGCATTAAGTAAATTGTTGCACCTACTTCAGTGTCCTTTTGCCCAGTGGGATAAAAATTTAACTTAAAATTAACACTGAAGTCAATTTTGAGCACCAAAAATTTGGTCTTCCTTCCTATTGGCCGAATCGTTTTGTTTTACATAGAAATTTTAATTGTAAAAAATTGTGTTTTTTTTTTTTAATTGTATTTGTTTTTTCTGTATTTTATACAATTTTTAATGAAGTTTTACCATGCTGTAAAGTGAGAACTGAATTGATTGAATGAAAAATATATATCTAATTAAATTTGAGGAAATAATTTTAAATGACTGCAAAGTCGTGTATAATTTAAGGAAGATACAGTGTCCACATCAGATACTTTGCATATATAGCATATTCAAAAGATAAAAATTATCAGAATGTGTTCCTATTATCTCAGTAATTTCTGAACTGAAAAAGAGAACATACTTACATGCTTTGCCTTAACTAATTAACCAATCAGCACAGTTGCTCTTAAATTATCAATATTAATTGTGTAACTGGTACATCAAAACGCATTTATTACCTTCATTATGAAGTGTGTTTGAGCTTTGTGAAACATAAAGTATATGTTTTTGCAATTAAATATGTATACATACAAATATATTGCATTATCATTCTTATGTAATATTGCTGTTTTTAACATGATTGAATTAAATTACTAAATTAGCATATGATCTGATATAGTTCAGGCCTCGACATATCTTATCAATTTCTATTGGCCACTTCTATTCAGTAGAGTCATGATTATCTGGCCTGAAAAGGCCAGGACCTGGTCGGATGATCGGGAAGGTTAGATGACATAAATAGAAAAAAATAAAGCCCTTAAAACTGACAAAATACATGCATTATTTCCAAAATTACATACCAGTAATATGAATAAATTACAAATTTATACTCTATATACCACAAAGAACAATCAAACCTCGTAGAAAACATTGGTACTTGGCTTTTGTTTGCCAGCTGTGTGATATTTTCACCCACTTAGAAAGAGTATTATCCAAAAGCAGTAATGCTTTTCTTGGCAAATTATTCTTTTTTCAAAATTTGTCAGTGTGTGGCAAAGTCATTAAGAAACCATTCTTTAAAAATATCTGAACTCATCCAATCATGGTAAGTTTTATTTTAAAGATGCTGTGGAGTTACTGCAGTCAAGGATCGTTACTCATTCTTTATTTCACTTGTAGCTAGGTGCTGCAACTTCAGACTTAACCGTGAGCATTTTAGCAAGTAGTGTTTCATAATTTAGTCCCAGCTCATCGCAATTAAATATTTGGTCACCAGTCAAGCTTTCCTTGTCTAACAACTTATGAAACTTATCCACTTACTCGTCATTTGAGTTTTTCTCTACATAGAGTTAGCTGTCATACTCCCACTTTTCAAGCTACCCAACACTAGCTATACCTTCATTAAATACACTACAGTTACCTTCATTAAATTCCTTTCAGAATTTCAAATCTTCTTCCTGTAAGACTGGTCCAAATATTGGGACACCTTTATCTCTATGTTTAGTAAACCAAAGAAGCAAAGCATCACCAAACTTTTCATACTCACTTTTTCTTCATCGTGTATCTTTGTTGTGTAGTGTTAGGTGTCTCTCTTTCAAAATCACTTTTCTGTCTCTTTTTGATTCCTTTTGCAGTTTCCAATGGTTGTCGTTCCTACTTTATAAACTTGTGCCTTTTTTAATACTGTTTCACTTTTGCAAAATCTCTTCAAACTTTCAGTTTTTTTCCCTCTTTGGAACAGACACCTTTTCCTCTGTGAAACACCACAGAACAGGATACTTTAATACAAAGTAAAATTACTGTACTGCAGATTGAACATAGTCCCAAGAACAGAGAATGAACAAAATGCCAACTTATCAGTAAATACAGCTTTGTACTGAAGTCAGTGAACTGAGTGAATGCAGACTGCTGACTACAGTGTATTTACTCACACTAATAGAATCTAACTCAAAAACAAAGCAGGAAAACTGCTTACTCTTCAATTGCTCAACAATTTCTGATATTTCTGAGTCCCCCCTCCCCCTCCCAGCTAACCTGGTTGGCAGAAAAAAATACTTTTACATTTTTATTTCTGCTAACCAGAATGTATTTTATAATTTACTTTTGTGGTGTTTCTATCCAGTGCAGTTTTAAATAATATCCTTTTTTGTGTATTTATGCATCTAATCTGAAACTGATTATTAGAGTAACATGCATGTTGCAAGAAAATAAGGGTTTAAAATTATTACCATTAAGTCCATTTTTTACATAACGTAATTTCCAGAAGAAAGGGCCACATCAGCATAAGTGCCGCAATCGAGAAAAATGGCAGGGGGAGAATAAAATTATGCAGAAATGACAAAATAAATTAAATTGTGCATGACATTGTCGTGAACCTTATAAATGCAAAATCTTGACCTATGTCCTGATATATGACATATCAGTTAAGAGAAATGCATGAAATGAAACCATAACTTAAAAATAAATTATAGGTAAGAAATTTTGAAAATATACTTATGTTCATGAACATACTTATATTTACCCATTAAAGAAGTCCATATTTGTAATACTTATACTATATTATAAAAAATATTGCAACAACAAGATATAGATGATTTTAGAAAAGGTGATTTTTTATCGTGCCAGTTCATTGGTAATTATTGCCCAACTGATGTTTTAGTACACACAGAAATATTTTTCCTCTTCATAAATCTGCTACACCAGCTAGACCCTCCTTTGAAATCGTTTACGTTCATTTCTTTCCTCGTAAAGTTTGCTAGTAAGCAAATTTTTACAGTTGAAATTGCCATTTCCTTTCCTTGTTGCTCCTTTATCCAGTTTGCAAGGTCGTCCTCTAGATTCGGCCACCTTACAGTACCACTTCTTTTGGCTCATTTCTGTTGTGGCATATGTTCTTCAGTTCTCTAACATCAAATGCATCTCTCGTCCACTCAAACTCTCGAGCTGCTGCTCTATTTCCAATTTGTTTAGCACGTGAAGTTACATTAAGCTTAAAACCAGCAGTATAGCTTTTGTGGCATTTAAAAAATTTTTCTGCTCCCTTCTTACTTAAAAACTATCCAGCAAGTATTTGTAAAAAGTGATGGGATCTGTATCTGGCAGGCTGCCAAGAAAAAAATGGATTCGTGCTGAAGGGGGGATTTGTCAGAGTTTGTTATTGCAACACAGGTGGAATCATGTCCACCTTTGAAACAAATCGCAGTAGATTTACAGTGGAAAAGGCGAGGGAGGGGAGGGATGCATCCTGGAAGATTCATCCAGTGGCAGAGAAGAGAGACTATTCAAACTGATCAGAATGCTGATTTGAAAGAGGGAAGAAGTTATTGTTTTGAGATCCTATTTAATGTGAATAAAGCATTTAGGTCCATTCAAGGGAAAAAAACGTAAACAAAATAAAATTCGCAGAAAGCAACTGAGTGGTCTTTTGTGTGGGAAGAGCACCAAACTATGTACAATGGGAAGATCATCTAACTATGTACAGTGACATCATAGGAAATATTTTTTTTAAGTGCACCTGAGCATCTCATGGGTAGAAATGTTATACCTGTTGAAAGTTTAAGTTTTAAACACATAAACATTGTGGCGTTTCTTCTGGAAATTACGGTAATTTGTATACGCTCTTGATCGGAAATGGGGCTTAAAATTTTCTTGCATTTTATAGCTTGAAAAGTAGTAGGCTGCAATTTACATGCTATGCATGCCAGATTAAAGGTGGTAACTTCATCAATATTTTTCATTTTTTAAGCATTAAATAGAGGTGAGTGAGTGAGAGATTATGGCGCAAAAACCAAAGATGATTATGGCGCGCCGCATTAAATAGGAGAGAAATTAATTCACATTTTGTTTGCACTAAACTGTTTTGAATGAATAATATTAATGTAATTTCTAGTTGTGTGTTTGTAATAAAACGTAGGTTTGTAATATATTGAGTGAGGTATAACATAATGGTTATTTTTATTTGTCATGTAAATGCAAAAGAGGGCAAAATACAGTATATTTGTAAAATCAGCTTAATTTCTCACATTAAACGAAAATATTTTCATGCTGAATAAATAGTACTGGCATCATTGTATTTATCTCAATGTATCATCATCATTGCATTTATCTTCAATTTTTGTGCATTGTACTGGCATCATTGACCTTGTGTAATTTTTTGCACATAAGACATGAGGAATTGCATGCCAATTAATGTGAGTTAAAACAAATAATGGTCATATTCTCTAGATGTTAAAGTATAAACCATAATTTTATTTAAATTTAAACTTCTGTGGATACAAACTAATTCAGACTTTAGAAAATGTTTATTGTTTCATAGAAAATGATAAATTTTTATGCATGTGTTTGTGTTCATATTTGTTCAAGTAAATTTTCCAAATACATGACTTGTATCTGCTGACTTTCTATTGTGTAACAATTCGTTTTTAAGTAAATGAATAATTATTTAATTGTATCGTATTTGAAATCATTGACATATTCCATTCTCTGGTTGTAGGAATTGGTTGGCATGCTCGAGTTTCTCCTCCAGATCATCCTGTATCTCAGTATGAATTTGATGTGCTTATTGGTGCTGATGGCAAACGGAATACACTACTTGGTAATGCTTCTTTTAAATGTATTGATTTTTGTCATAAACTTAAAATTAATCTTTTTCTATTTTTTTTATAGGAGACAATTTTGAACTTGATAAGTGGAGCTTTGAATTCAAATAATATATGCACATTTAAACTACAATTAAATTTGTACATACACATAAACCTTAACCTAAAGTAGATCATCAAAAAATCTTAACATAGATAGAACAGTTTTAGATGTGAAAATGCAACACTAACTTTTAAGCCTGAAAAATATATTTACTAGCATTTTTGAAAAATAATATTGTTTTTCACCATATGCACATATGTATATATTGTAAATGAGTATTTTGTGTATATTGCCTTGACTTTTTCACATATAACCAAATTCACTGCTTTATTTTCTTGCATTTTGTCTTTTTTTTTTTTTTTTTTTTTTGTTGTGTGTGTGTGTGTGTGGGAAAGAGCACTTCCTGTTGGTGACTCAAAGAAAGCAGTTGTCAATTCAAAATGTATATATCATAATTGTGAATGCTGCCCAGACGGTATAGTGGTTAGGGAAGCTTGACTGCGATACCAAAGGGCACCTGCTCAAATCGCGGAGAAGGCATGGATGTAAAAATTGTCTGTCTTTTCATAGGAGGTAATGGTGGTGGCCTATTAGGTGCCTCCTCAATAAAATGGCCACCACTTCTGGCCTTAGGAGTGGCCAATGCCATTTTTGGCAAATTCCCGCCATTTGGAAAAAAATAAATAGTAATAATAATTGTGAATTGAGTTTGAAATTAAATTGGCCAGTTTTTGAGTTATTTTTTAAATAATTTATATTTAAATAAAAAAAACAGTTGTGCTTAATTTATTATTTCATTCAGGAGGTTATGGAACATGAAATGCATTTTATGCATATGAAAAATGTGAATTTATTAAAATAAAAATAAAAGAAGTCTACTTTCTCATGGAATTTCCTCTTATCAGTGAGATTTAATAGTACACCAATGTATTACTGTTGAGAATATGCAATTTTGTTCATTCCGTATAAATTAGAATTAAGATTAGTACCTACCTTTTTAATAAAAGAATCCAGCTCTTTTTCTCAAAACTAGTTCCTTGCTTATATATTAAATCAAATCTTTCTTACTCAGTATATTTTAAGCTTGTAGAATCATTCATAGATTATGCTTGCATATTGGGAATCATTCTTCTCAATCTGAATATCAAAGTATACAAAGCTGTATCATCAGCTTAATTAATAGTGAAAGATAGAAGCACTTAACAAGCTTCACTTCCTATGAAACAAGATTTTATATATCATTGCTCTATGTTTCATCAGGAATCATTTATTCTTTAAGACCTGAAAGAATACATATACTGATGCATATTAGTTGTGTATTATTGTTCAGTTGAAGTATAACAGTATTTATAAGCCTGAAATTCCTCAGAGCATAATTTTCCATATCATCTCTCTGTATTTCGCTACAGTTGTTATGTTGTGCTAAGGTATAAGTATGTAATGTTATAATGTTAGTGCAACCACTTAAGCAGAAGCTGCGAAATTTTTTCAAGTTGCCCAGTTTTGGCAATCATATACATGACAGTTCTTCAGACAGCCATTTGTTGTTCTTATATTACAAGCTCTAAAGGAAAACTGTGATATTTTTATCATAAAATCAATTTTAAATATGCACTTGTGAGATTTGCTTGTAACAAAGCCAGTGTGATAAAAATTCTATGGGAACACAATATTTTGCAAAATCAGGAATGTTCAAAGTCACATGTGATGATGATGTATTTTGGAAAACATTTTTTTTTTTTTTTTACAATGCAGAGTGAAAAATTGTAATGAACATGTCAAAGTGTGGACTGGTAATTGGTTTAATAATAGTTGTGTAGCTTTTACTACAGCAGTGAGATTTATTTGCTGCTGGAGCAAAGAATTAACCTATATTTAATTTTGCTGTGAAGAATTAGGAATGGCCAGCAAGACTGATAGTTTGCAGTAATTATATGTAAAGGATTTGCCTTTCTGATAAAAAGGCCAAAGAAGGAAAGCAGTTGGTGTGGAAAATCTAATTATGAAACAAAAACACATTGCTGAATGTGTTATTTTCGTCATAACAGAGTTTGAGAGGAATTGGGGGGGGGAACTTTCTTAGTTACAATTCGTAATAGAAGTACTGCTGTATTAAGGTTGAAAATTTAAAAAGCCTGATATAGCCAGCACATGACTTCTAAAAATTTCTATGTTTTGAATAACAATGAACATTAGGTAAAGTTTCAAAATGTGCTTTACCTAAAGCTCAATGTTCTATAAAATGTGAAACTGGTTGATTGTTTTAAAATAAGATCTAGTATGCTTACAATCTTTGTGGCACATTGTTAATTTTAAACACAATTTTATTAATTTTATTATTGTATTCTCATACAATGAAAAGTCATAATTATGCATACTTGTGTACACATCCATTCTAGTGCTTTCTTTTGAAAATATTACATCATTTGTAGTGTATTCTGTATTCACATAGTGTTTTGGATTTACAAATGAATGACTTAGCAGCACCAAAATTTTTAAAAGCAACATATCTTTAGAATTCCCAATAAAATGTTAAATGTTATCATGCACTTTTTCCCAGTCTCATCTCAGTTCATGATATCACTGTTCAGTTTTCTTAAGATGACAACTTTTTCTATTTGGCCATTTTGCTTTATGTATTAAACATCACTTTTTGTGCATTTACACCATGGGAAATTTAACAATAAATTCTGTAGTCTTTAAAAGTAGCATATCTTTAAAATTCCCAATAAAGTGTTAAGTGTTGTCATACATTTATTTTTTATATTCATTATATTATATATTTGCTATATTATTCCTTTAAAAGTAATGCATAGGGATAAAATTTAGTGGTAGCTACTATTTATTTGAAAAGTGATTCGACAAGAGTGCAGTAAACACAAAATTTATGATTGATGCTAATACAATAAATAGCTTCTTAATGAGTGCTGATCTTTATAATGAGCTTATTCTTGTTGCATTTGGCCTAATTCTAAGATTGCATTTAAGGTTTTTATTGCTTTTAAATGTAGTGTATTGTTCTCAATCACATACGTGTTTTAAATATCAAATTAGAAGAGTTTTATATTAGTTCATAATCTATTTTTTTTTCGTAAAAATCTGTCAAGAGTTTAAGATAAAGGATCACTTCCAGTTTATTAGTTGAAGCCAAAATCTAATATATTATTCCCATTAATATAAAAGTCATAAAATATAAAATTGGAAAATTTTGGATCGTATTTTAGTATACGAGGGCCATCCAGGAAGTAGATTACGTTTCCGTCTGTGTCCGCTAGGGGCGGGGCTAGCGCGGCCATCTTGGGGTCAGAGCGTTGTGCAGCTCAGTCTGCATCTAGCCGTGCTAGTGAGAGGTTCGTGCTGTGCTCCGTTCAGATACTGTGACGGTTTGAAATTTTTTTGAAATGTCTGCGTTAATTGAAAATCCCGCGAGCTGCGAGGTGCGCTCAGTAATAAGGTTTCTGACTGCAAAAAAACTGTAAACCGATAGAAATCTATCGGCAGCTTCGTGAAGTGTATGGGGACAACATTATCACTGAAGGTGGAGTGCGTCAGTGGGTCATAAGATTTCAAAATGGCCGAACCAATGTTCACGACGAAGATCGAAGTGGGAGACCCAGCATAGTGACCGCCGAACTTCTCGAAAAAGTCGATGCTAAAGTCCGTGAAAATCGAAAAAAACAAAGGATATGCCTTTATCCATTTTTTGCAGCAATTCCACTTTTTGTTTGATGGACATCGAAACATGCTTTCGCTTTGTAGATCCTTTAGCAGCTCCAGAATCGGAAATTCTTTTTGACATAATCAAAAGTTCAAGCTTATTTTTATAAAATTGCTCTAACAATCTGCAAAAAATAATAAGCCGGATCTAATTCGAAGATTAAGGAACAACACAATCTGCAACATTAACTGAAATAGATAATTAGATAATTTTAGCTTAGCTTATACCATTTGTTATACATTAAACACACATGCATAAATGTATTAAGCACGTGTGTACACGCATATGCGCATGCATAAGGGTATTACGAGCACGCGTGATGCATGCGCAGAAAGTTTGTAGCTTTGAGGTCCGGATTATAGATCATTCCGGATTAACGACTTTTGACTGTACTTTTATTAATGTTGTCTGAGATAAATACACAATTTAAACAAAAATTCTATGTATAGTAACATGTATAAATGAAATAAGTAATTTTTTGCTGTGGTAAGTTATTCTTTTTCTTTTGTAAAATCTGCACCTAAGGGTTTGCAGTAGTGCATAAGTACTAATATGTTTATTGCAAACTGCAGATTATAAGAAAATTTGTTTTAAAAGGGTTGTTAACTATAGTATTGACAGTTTTCCTGACATCTTTAATTACTCAAGGAAGCTTGCAGCAGGCCATTCATCACCTAGCCTTTCACTAATGATAGTATACCATACTGTTTACTTTTCCTTTCTTCCTCATTCTGTCCTTTTCCTCATTAGGCATTCCTCTTCTCAGTTCCTCATTACATTGTATTCAGTCTAATTTTACATTGTAATGTTTTACTGTTTTTACCTCTTACAGTCCTAATTAAAGCAGGCTTTTGTAATGCTGTCACATTTATTTCATCCTGTGCTTATACATGCATCGCCTTACTGAGGTATACAGACAAAACATTTTCTCTTTCAATTCATTAAATTAGTGTTGCTTTCCTCGTAGTTCTTAATTTGTATATATGTATAAATAATAGTATGATCCTGTGATTTTGAATAATAAAATGACTTTCAGATATAGAATGATTGCAGGAAGTACAATCCATTAGTTTCAGTAGTTCGGTATTAAAAAAATTATATAAATGACATGAAATGTAGTCTGTAATCTAATTATAAAATTTTGAGTTTTTTTTTTTTTTTTTTTTTTTTCCTTTTTTCGATATTTTGCTTATGGGAAAAGCATTTTTACTGTCTGTGTATTATCAGATGCTTATTCACAATGCATAAGCAATTTTTTAAAGCTTCTAGACAAAGTTTTTTTCAAATTTATTTTATCTTATTACTTATTTATTGATGCTTTCTGATTTGGTTGTTTTGCCCTTATTACGCTTATTGATTGCAAATTTGTTAATGATTTTTTTGTATGAAATAGTTTTATTTATATTATAAGTATAATCAGATTGTATTGTTCAGGTTTTAACAGAAAAGAATTTCGAGGGAAGCTAGCTATTGCTGTTACTGCAAATTTCATCAACAGGCATACTATTGAAGAAGCTAGAGTACCTGAAATAAGTGGGGTTGCATTTATATTTAACCAAAAGTTTTTTCAGGTATAGTTTTAATTATTGTCCCATAATTTTAAATAAAAATGCAACTGTGAGAATGTAACCTTATGTTATATTTCAAGTGTTTTTTATTCTAGGATATGAGAGAGCAGACAGCTATTGATCTTGAAAACATTGTGTATTACAAAGATGATACTCACTATTTTGTAATGACAGCCAAAAAACAGAGCTTATTGGAACGAGGTGTTATTATCAGAGTAAGAGATATTTTGTATTTCATTATACAGTACAAAGTCCAAGATCGGGACTTGTCATCACAATGAAAAACTTATGTTATGTTATCTTCATTTATTAGTGCTTCTTCACATTTCATTAGAAAATCCATTAATTGGAAAATTTCATCTTTTTTTGAGATACCAAAAAACCTTCAAATTCATAGCTATTGTCGTTATCAGACTCACCATGAAATATAGTAGCTGGCCATAAATTATGCCACACACTTTTTAAAGTATCTGGAGACATCCTCCCATAATCTTGAGATGCTTCACACAGCAGATGTTATGCTAAAATATTTCAATAATTCTTAAATACTCTTGCTGTTATTCAAGAAATTTAGCATGGACTTTAAAAATGCTACTTTTTACTTGCATTTCAGCAAAGTCGTTGCTAGGGTTTTCAGCATCTGGGGACAGCTGAAAATTTTGTGCCCCCTCTGTTTGCTAAGAATGGAAACTATTTAATTCTAAAATTTCATAACATCAGTTTTTCTCCCTCTGGATTCTGCATCCAGAGACAGATGTCTCCCCTTGCCCCCTTCTAGCTACAACCCTGCATTTCAGCACTATTCTAATAGTATCTATAGGCTGAATGATGGATGTGCAATCTGGAGGAAAGAATAATACAAATACATAATCTTTCACTAAAACTTTAAGTGAAGTATGAGTCATACAGTTGTCTACAAGGAAAATTTTGCGTCATCAGGTAAACCAACCGAATTCAAATGTTACAGAGCCTCAGGTATGAAATGGTTTTCAAACCAATTATTCATTAATGCTTATGTCATCCGTGCTGTTTTATTTTCATGATATATAACAGGGAAGATCTGTACTCTTTTAAATGCTCAAGGTCGTGTATTTTTTCCAATTATGAAAAGTTTATACTTCTGCATTTGTGCATGCTAAAATTGTTAGTCTTGCTTTGTAAACTTTGATACCAACTGGAGCCTTTTCTGTAGAGTTTGCCAGGGTATTTCATGGTGCATATTACCAGTTTCATTGCATTTTTAATTTGTTGATATAACTTTTCACTGTAGTGAGTTCAATAAATTTGTCTGCAAATAGTTCAGCAGCTTCATTATCAGCCATCATGAGATTGACAACGAAGGACAAATTTTTTTGTTAAATTTTATCTTGCTTGTATTGCTCACCAAGACTATTAAACCTGAATTTTATTATTTTAGTTATTTATTATACTTACGTCTATTTTTTGCACATGCTTGAGGCTTATCTGAGTTCTGAATAAATAAAATTTAAGGCTTATCGAGGGCTGGCACTAGATATTGTACTGCCTTATGCAGTCTCATCGAGTCTTAAATTCTGCTAGCAAGCACCTCCCTAAGTTCTAAATTTTTATCACCCCTAAATTTTAGTCCCCTGTGCTTTCCCTAAATTCAAAAAGTTTCGTCATCCCTTAATTTTGTTGCTTGGTGCTTGTCCAAATTCCAAAAATTTTGTCTTCTCTGAATTCCACCACCATGTGCAGCCACAGAAGTTCTGGTGTTATGTGAATAACAAATCAATTATTCTTAATTCAAGTAGCACTAAATGTAATCTTTTGGATTATGAGTATCATTAACAAAATCTATTTTTAGCATAAGGAAAGAAAGTTTTGTTAAATTTTTCCTCGTCAGCACTTTTTAGCACATTTAATATAAATCTCTAATCACCACCAGGTTTAATGTCAACAGAAAAATTTACCATACTCTTTTTTATTCAATTACTGATATAAAAAAATTGTTTAGGCATCGCTGCATGAGTCATTACAAAAGTTGTCATGTGCTGATAAACATGGAGTGATAAAAGCCAAATATAATAAATAATGATTCGCCAGGGATATAAAATATTAATTGGTGTAAAATCAACAATGTTTCTATGTAGAACGTTTTGGTTTCAGATGTGTGCCAACAGGGTTCGTAGCGTTCCTTACCAGTGGTTATAAGTCCTTATATTTGAAAATAAAATATAAAGGCCCTTATAGGTGCTTACTTTTTCTTTAAAGCCCTTATTTTTTTGTTTTTAGTGCTTATTTTTTGCTTTTAGTGCTTTTTTTTAATGAATGCGCATTTTTTCCCCGTACCAAAGCCGAAACTAAATAAACAACTTTTCTTCCTTATATGCAACATCAGATGGTAAACTTCCAAAAATTGCTTTCCCCCTCTTTCTCTGCATTAACGTAACCTATGGTGCGTGCGAGAGTACAGACAGGTGCACGTCGTTCTATTGGTCAAAGAATTGCGAAAACGGTATAAAATTCCGATACATTCAGTATTCTTTTCCTCCCACCCAAATACTACACACGTTTGAATTTCTATCAAGATTTTAATAATTTGCATTCTCGTTCCGCGTGGTCAGTTCATATTCGTGTTTATTATGATCATTATGCTTATATTATGAGCATATGAATGAATATTTATAATAATATAGTTGCAATAACTGCTGAAGTATAGAAAAACTTCCAAAAATGGGTGTGTTTTAACACAGATTAGCTTTCTAAGGAATAATATTCGGAATGGCTTAAATAAAAGTCAAAATAATTTTTCTTTTTCTTTTTTCTTTCTTTCTTTCTTTCTTTTTTTTTTTTTTTTTTCCCAATATATTATGCAGTACGGAGGTTGGGAGGTTCTCCCCTTTCTCCGCAAAATCTCTTAATACTGAAGCAGCGGGCTCTTTTTTTTTTTTGTCACTGTCCAATCTGGATTGAATAGGACGAAAAGTTTTTTCGGTCTACCCAACCCAAGCGAAGATTGATTCTATTCCAGAAATTTAATGCAGTCGGTTGAAAATTAGAATCAGAAAACCCCAGATTAGTAAGTCTCTTTCTTTTCTTTTATTTAGTTCTTTATTCTCCGAATACTAGCAGCTGTTGATTCCGATCGCGTAATATCACATGTGGAAGAATAACGCCGCACGTATTGCGCAAGAACGTTTGCGGTATTTTTCAGAGATAATTAATTTTGATGTTCAGTCCAAGAATTGTTTATGGACACTTAAAAGAGTTTTATTATGCTTTCTAAGCAGAATATTTCTCAGTTCTGTTGGTCTATTTTTTATATGATGCACATATCGAAATGTCAAAATCATTTAGTTAGCCGAGAAATCTAAAGAACGGCTACTGTCTCCTCACTCCTCTTTTTCCAGTTACTATCCGGAATATTCGGCAATTTCCAAGTATGCGGGTTAGTTAAGCTTTTACTGTTAAAGGATGGCTGCATGAGGCAATTTCCCGTCTTCTGATTTCAGAAATGTGCCTCTTTTTCACTTAAATTACTTTGCTTGGAATATATGTTAAGGGAAAACTTTTATGCAATGAAAATTTAGAAAATGTTCAGAATTTTGATTTAAGTTAAATTATTTAAATATTAATATGAGTGGAAAAATAAATTGTATTTATTATTAGGTGCCAAACGAATACAATTAATATGGCTTATTATTATTTATTTTCTATATTTTGAACTGAAATTCCAATACTCATTCTCTTAATAAATATTGCATTGCTCATATTTTAAATTACAAGTCTAATTTTTCTTTTAAGGTTATGCAGTTGTATATAATGTAATTAGACAGGTGCTTATTTTTTCCTTAAAATGTGGCTACGAACCCTGTGCCAAGCAGATATGCAGTTACAGAGTCAAATTATTGATCACACAAATTTATGCTAAAATGATTGTTTCTTCAATAATGAAGTATTTAGGGGGCAATCAAATGTGCATGGGTAAAGCATACCGGGGGGAGAAGGTTGTTGGTGGCTTTGAGGTCTGAATTCTAGATCATTCCGGATATTAGACGCGTGGATCTCAGACTTTTACTGTATTTACTTTTCTGCATGTTTGAGTGTGTAATAAAAAACCCATGTAGTATGATGTGATTGCATATTATTTGTCCTGAAAATATTGCGCTCTTGCACACAAGGTAGACCAAAAGTCACTAGAAGATTTTTTTTAATTATTTCAAAATTTTGCCAATATATGCTGTTGCTGTATCATTTTATACTTCTGGTGATGTTTAATGAAAGGTAAAAGCTTGCTTAGATGTTGAACAGTTGCTTCATTACAAAGTTTTTCACACTATCAAGTACTCAATGTATCATCTACTGCTGTAAATTACAGTAAATCACATTCTAAGTATGTAATCACACCATTCACTCATTCACTGATGCACCAAGCATATCCAGATTACAGAAACAACTGTGTAGTGGTTAGCATCCTTTAAGTGTATAGGGATTGATGGGCTACCATGGCCTTCAAATACCTCCCCCTACACACTGATAAAGTATGGTTATCAACTTCAGCAATCAGAAAGATCAAGCAGTTGGATATAAAGGATTAATTAGTTACTCTGGGTCAATGAGGAACTGCTTCTCATATACTGCTATACAAAAGGTATACCATCTTATACAAACATGGCAGTCTCTGTGTGCTTTTATTCTTGCAAACGTAATATCTATTCTCGTGTAACATTTTCAGATTGCATTGCCTTCTTACAAACTATATTATATTCACTAACTATATACATAACTCTTCAAAAGAGTAGGACCAATAACAAATTGAATGAACCGCACTATGCAATGAGTCATGGTAAGTGTATTAGCTGTTCTTTTTGTATGTGGTAATTTTCCTTTACCTGTATTGAAAATTTATAGACTTTAAATTATTTAATGAAAAAATATGCATCATCTTTTAATTATCATCTTTTCTCAGTGATCAGAGTCCTCCTGCTTATGAATATCTTTTGATTGCAGCTTGTACGAATACAAATGCAAAACACGATGTAAAATCTACAAACAGTTGTGTTTAATGAAAAAAAAAATTGCTTCATCTTTGCATTATCATCTTTTCTCAGTTATCATGTAGCAAAGTCTTTCTGCTTATGAATATCTTTTTATTGCAGCATAATGCATCTTGTACATAAACAAATGCAAAACACCATGTAAAATCTGCAATACCAGTGAAAGTCTGCCTGTTATAGCAGTTTCTTGAGCA